GTTGGCCTCGACCATCACCTACCACTTCTAATTTGATCATCATGAGCATTTCCGCTGCTGCCGGTGTTGAGGCTATTGCTACCCAGCCTGCTCCCACTACTACTATTCATGGTGGCACCACGGGTCAGGTTCCTCCCACTTCCTACTATGTTCAGCGTGGTACTACCTCTCAAGTTCAAGCACCTCAAGGTCCCATGATTGACGAGAAGATTGTCCAGAAGCAGAAGGAGAAGGCCTTGAGGGAGTTGGAGTCCCGAGTGAAGCTGGCCTTGCAGCAGCACGAGCAGATGTATCAGCTACAGAGGTCTCACATCATGGCCGATCATGACAGGCAGATGGAGTACACCAAGGCTACCATTGAGAAGGAGCGTCAAGCTGCTATGTTCGACTTGGAAGGTCAGTATCAGACCAACACTCGAGGGCTCGAGCAATCGGCCATTCAGCAGCGGATGCAGATTGAGACTACTGCCATGCAACTTGACATCCAAGCTCATCAGCAGAAGATGATTATGGAGCACCAGGAGCGCGAGAAGAAGTGGACCGGCCAGCCTGCTGTGGCTCAGACTATTGCGGCTCCTCAGCCTTATGTTGCTCCTACGACTTACAGTGCTTACGGTCAACCTGGTGGGACTATGACTTACTCGACTGCTGTTCATCAACAGCAGCCACAGGCAAACTCTGCTGAGGCTCCTGTTGCAGCAGCTCAGTGAAAATTTAGAGCATGATTGAGTATTGTTGTGTATGGTTCAAGAAGTCTTGGATGGTTTTTTCATAACCACTCAAGCTGATCCACAACATTTTCGCTCAAAGCGACATAATCCTTGTGATGTTGAGTTTATAGTCGGTGATGAGGGTAGCGAAGAGAATTACTGTACATTCTCTGAAGCGACTGAAAGTATATCGTTCAACAGTAATGCTTCGTGTTGTAAGTATTGCTCGTGATGTGGAGCCTATGGGAACTGGTACAAATTGAGTAGCAATACTGATACAGTATTGAAGTCATGAGCTATATGCAAGTCTTCACTGACCTGCTGCCTACCTTCTTGAACTTTATGGCTATACAGCTTGACTGGGACGAAGCCACGACTGACGGATAGCAAGAAAGCTTGTTAGTACCCTGTGGACTATAGCGTGTTAGTTAGATATGCAAGTAGAGAGTGAGAACAGCGGAACTATCAATACTTCAATTTGGTTATATTTGTTGGGAGGGTCTATCAATAACATGTTTGGTCGAAGGGAGATGTAAGAGGAGCTATACTTAGGATAATCAGACATAGTAGAGCTGATATGCGGCTTGGTGGGAGCTAATTGGCTCAGCTCGCCGGAGGCCTCCCATAGATGGGATATACATGTTGATCAGATATGGCTTGTAAGGCCTGTGGCTCGGGTGCACTGCGCCAATCCAATCGGAAGGCCCCTCCATTGTAGGTTCTCACAAATATGAAACCGATCGCTCCGCTGACGTGTATAGCCTAAGCGCACGTAGGGATCATCGGCTCATGACCTAGCTCTATTATAGTTAGTATCCAATGGTTAACTCCGTATATAACAACACTCTCGAGTTAGCACTGGGAATACTCGACCTTGAACCAAGTGACACTGCAGGCCCACTCGATGTCTTGAGTGATCACGATTCGCGATTCACAAACGCAACAGTCCCCCCATCTAAGATTATTTATTGAGAAGCTATCAAAGAAGTGGAAAATACTCGCTGCGGATAATATGAGATGCAGCTAATGTGGCTCAGAAGTCGACAGCGTCGATTGCTGAGCTACATGTGTCGACTCGACGTACGACACGGAGTTCGGTGAAAGAGTAAGTATAAGAATCTCGAACTCTGAATGGGTTCATCACTGCTGATGTAGCTTCATGTCATCAGGACTTCTCGGTGGCCCTATGAATAGCATCACGGGCATTGTCGGCAGCCTCATGAGCGTCCTTGGACATCTTATCAGCGGTCCCTTCACCACCTGAGATACCCTTGAGTCTGATACTGAGGGAAAAAGCCCATCTCACCCATCTTATCGGCACCAGCCGCAGCCTTCTCTTTCATCGTCTGACCAGCTGCCGTGGCCTTTTGCCCCAGAGTTTCGCCGCCTGCAGTGACAGTATCCTTTATTCCTCCACCAGTTTCCTTAGCCTTCTCTTTCATCGTCCCTCCAGCATCTAAGAAACAGTAGGAATACGCTCGACTGTACTTGAAAGAGATACCTCTAGCGGCCTGATTGGCTTCATCGGCCTTCTCAGCAGCTTTCTCCTGAACGGTGGGTTCCTTTGGAGTGAAGGCTTCTTGGTGTCCTCCCAGGCTTTCTTTACAGTATCCA